GCTGACATCTCTCTTGATTCAGTTTCCAACGGAGGATTCAACCAGAAATACACAACAGAGAACTTTTATGAAGAAGGTGGAGCACGAGAGATGCATCAAAAGTTTAGTAATAAAACAGCTGCTTCTCAATCAGATGACAACGAGGGGATTCCTACATACCTCACACCTCCACTACCACCAACATCAACAATGAATGCTTTAGTTCAGTTACAGGAGCTGTTTCCACATAAAAAGCGTTACGCTGTCAGGGAAGAGCAGAAGTTGCTGGATATTCTGACTACTCTGCACATTCTGCCACACCCTGAAGAGATGGACTACTTTTAAATTCAATTATTGCTTGTTACATAATAAAAAGAGACATGCTCTGTCACTGGGTTAGATCCGCGATAAAATTCATGATAATGACTGAGCTTAAATAAAAGATAATGAATATATTTACTGCTGTCACAGAGCTACACTCAAAATATATTAATCTGATTTCACAAATTAGATGTTCAAGACTGATTCGTAAATTGAAATTTATTCATGTGGTGAGGTACTGTAGCACTGTAAGATTTGAGGTTTTCACAGCGGTGAGTATGAAGATTTCTGTCTTCTGGATTGTTGCGCTGTGCAGTCTGGTCGCTGTTTACCAACGTTTCAGAGGTCATATTGCCTCCGATGAATCACCCTGATGACGGAGGCACTATGACCTCTGAAACGTTGGTTAACATCGACCATACTACACAGCGCAACAACCCAGAAGACAGAAATCTCCATACTATAGCATTGCCTCATACAAAACATTTTACTTCATGGTTAGGATATTTATGAAATCACTCCCTCCTTCACGCAAAAGACAGTGGAAATAAATACAAGTGACATTGCTATTCTTCAACATCTACCAGTGGACTTGGAAGCCATCTCGATGATAAATAAATATTCTCAGCTGTAAGTTCACTGAAAACCTTATGCATGTTCCTACGAAGATGTAATTATTTATTAACTAACTCTTGCTTTTAGTTTGCTAAAATGCAAACACTTTCATAATATTATAATAATATAATGTGCTTCCTTACAGTATTTTGGCTTTTATTTAATAACTATCAAATATTTTCAGGAGTCCTGTTGAACAGATATTACGTGTTATGTAAATTTTAACTCATGTCTTTATAAATGTTATAAAAAGGTGTTTACAATTACATTTCTTCATGGAATATAAAGAAATATAATGATGCATCTTCTTAATGGTCAAATAATGCGGAGAAGCAGTTACTTTCATTTAGGTCGTAAGGTTAGGAATTTATGACACTACATCTTCAATTCCCCATTCATCTTCTTCAACACCTGAACAATTTATCTCTTCTGTTCAGGGTTAAGCTGAAAAATGTACCATGTACTAGTGAGATTGCATTAAAGTCACTTGAAGAATTATTGTAATACGCTATTCTCCTTTTGCTTTGAAAACACATGGAATAAATGTTGGTCTAAATATTTAGACATTGATGGCACTTTCCAGGTTGTAGCACCATGCAGTCTGGTAAAACATTTCAGATCTCTTTCCTGCTTTCACCATCACGGAAATCTTCAGACGTCCTTGCTAGGGCCTCTGAAACGTTGGTAAAATTCTACCAGACTGTACAGCACTACAATCCAGAAGACAGCCATCTTTGCACTCACCACCATGAGTACATCAAACATTATATTGGCCTTATTTTATAACATATTTTTATAAATATTTTTACCTGATATTTCTCTAAGACGTCTCCGGTGGGTCGGTTAATTCATGTGATATTTAAAGAAAATCTTAACAACAGCAAAAGTTATTCAGCATTGACACACGTCTGAAAGTGTGATTAATATTGTACTACTTTATCACATATATTAAAACATTATTTTAGTCATATTCCTTTGACAAATATAAATGTTGCTTACAATCAGAAGTTCAGTAACAAACATGTTCAGGACACTACAGACATTCACTGACTTGTCTGTTTATGTCATACTTTTAGTTATGTGAACAACAGACTATTCCAAAACAGTTATTAATTAAGAATTATCGTATGGGTACAATTAATTTAGACCCTGAGCTGCCAGCTGGATTTTAACTGCAGAGTTTAATGGTTTCATTACGCTATTACAATGCTCAGCCAAACATTTCCAGCAGATCACATTTCAGCAGTGAGGCACAGCTGATAGCGATTAAAGCATCTGATAAACTGTCTAAGCAGCCAATCTTTAGTTTAAAACGTACATATAGCGTCCAAGGTCAGCATGATATAGTCACTGCATAGAAATGAGGTCCAAGTAGTCACAGAGCAGAGTCTAGGTATTTGCTTAATGAAACCGAAAAAAAAAAGAACTTGATAAATCCTAGCAATTCAGGTCTGCCAAATACGAAGCAGATATACGATGCACTAAGTGCAAGTTAATTTACTTAGTTATATTCTCTAAATATCTCTCACACAGGGAAACATACTAGGATTTTCTAAATCTTAGAATTGTCTATTCTCTAAATATCTCTCAAACAGGGAAACAGACTAGGATTTTCTAAATCTTAGAATTGTGGAAAGAAATTACGGCATCAAAAGAACTGCTATACTACTTACATTCTCCACAGCAACCAATCAATTTTGTTTACTTTCATTCCAATTTCTTGGATCCCAGCAGGTTTCCATTTCTCGGAGTAAACACAACACCAACACTATATTTTATGTTTGGAATCTATGAGAGATCAAACATTCTATGTAAATCACAAATAAACCATTTCACATCCATGTACTCCAGAATAATGGTCCCTCACGTGATAGAGCCACGTTAAGGTTTCTGGGTTACAATCTATAAAATACTGTCTGCTCACTATTGGTTCTACGAGATCACTGCATTTTGAATTGTCTGAGGTGAGATGATTCTATGTCTGGTGCCACGTAGTATTGTCATGCCACAGACTGATATTCGTGTCAAATCAAACATCACGGTAGGAACGACACTCCGGAACTTGTTCTGACCACGTCCCGTCAACACGACACTGAGGCCAGTTTGCCTCCAGCTTCACTACATAACCTATAGCACATGTCACCTTTAAGTGGTCTCCAGGTTCGTATGAGAATTTGATTGGTGCAATCCTTCCATGCTCTGGATCTCCCGGATATGGGCACCGTGCTTTACCTGTAACATGAATTACAAACTGAAGCAGTTATTACGCGTTCTTTGCACCAAGTCAAATGCATTATGGACAGGTCATGTCTGTCTGTCCAGTTGAAGACTATTTTTGTGGGCATATTTTGTTTCAGGTCCCAAATTAAAGCGATGGCAACAAAATTAATTGGAATCTACTTTCACTGCATAAGAGTAATGGAAAATGTTTTCTGAAACAGACTTTAACCACAGACGAAATTGACTGCACCCACAGAACGCCACCTTAGGCAACACTCACTTTAGCTAAAAAATTACACCGCCAAGTTGGAAATGCATTCATCAAACAAACGCAACAAAGCTGAAATGATTTACTGCAACGTGGTGTGAAACAACTTTCTCTATGTGAGAGTAAACCTGAATTAACGCGTTCATTAATTCTTATGGCGGCGTAGAGCAGTCATATAGAGATCGCCTAGAGTATCGTGGTATTTGGCTGCATCCGCAAGCTTTATCGGCAGACAATACGCAGCTATGACAATTACTCTGAACAAATGAAAAACATTAAGCACGAAGGTTTTTCCTTTCCCCTTCATTTCAACCCACTGTACCGCAGGAAACGGTTGACATTTTTGTGAACAAATGAATTGATGCTGCGGGGTAAGGGGTTTCCACGGACTACCCCCCCCCCTTTTCCAAGTTTTCATGACTTAGTCATCCTAGTGTGAAAAATGAACATGATAGATGATACCCCATAAAGAATATCACAGTAAACTAGGAGTCGTTTTGTGCAAATAAAAAGTGAAGAAAGCGGGAGAGAAGTAAAACTTTTATATTAATAGTTCATTTCCAGAAACAGAATTTAAACACATTGCTATATTCATACAGACAAAGGCAGCAAAAATTAATACAGTAACAAAGTAGATCCTGGTGGAATTCTAGGGACCGCTTAAGTGTCTGAAAACTTGCCTTTTGTTTTACGGCGTCGCTGAAAATGGCGTTTCAAATAAAAAAAGAATTAGAATTAGAATCATTCTGTTTTGTCAGTGTGGTTATTGAAGTCACAGATAGACAAGCAGCGTATCTATTTAGATATTAATCATCCGAAGTCAAATACAGTTAACCGTTTGAAGCAGAAGTTCATCTAAATAATAATGTCAGTCCGTACGTCAAAGAAACAACCCATAATCATTACATAGATCAATTGTTTAATGCTGTTTGAGGAAATAATAGCTGCTTACTTTAAAAATACCAAAATTGTTAAAACAAACGGGCCATATATATATATATATATGCATGACGAATAAATCTTCTGGCAACGTTTCGAGAGCAATCTCTGCTCTCATCCTCAGGGCTGCTGCATAACAAATCTGATCCTCTGTAGCGCGCTCGCCCTTGGGAACTGGCGGTGGACGGCAGGTTGGTTTGTTTCGCGCTGACCAATAGGAACTGGCAGCCGAGGTCAAGTGCTCGCACTCGATGGCTCGGCCTTCCCGGCGGACATCAGTTTTGTCACAGGATACCAGACCCGCTCAGAGTGAAACCACCATCCCTATTGAAGTTGTGCAAGTGGATCTCAATGGCTTCTTTTACGAGCCTGTCCATGTATCCTGATGTCCTATCCAACACCGAGATCCGGCTGAAGTCGATGCGGTGCTCTGTATTTACGTAATGTTCCGCTACTGGATTATATCTTATAACGCACAGAAGGCCGCCAACTGTAAAGCACAACTAACCTTCTGAATTTAGATCACCAATACTCTAACATTTAAATGTAGCAACAAAAGATTCAAAGAATTCAGTATGTATTCTCTTGAAAATGGCTGGAGAAACTGTCAAATGGACAAATGACACGGCGAAGCTACCAGGCATTCTGTCACAAAACGAAGCCTCGTGTGCTTCCTGGAATGTGCCACATGGACGCACAAATTCTGGAACATTCTTCGTCGCGAAAATATCTGTAATAGCACAAATTATTCAAGATGCCGTCTACAACACCACTGATTTATTTTGTAATTACTCACCCCATTGGTACTGTTAAATGGGCAAATGAGCACTTGTGGCGGCATTATAAACTGGGTTCGCTTTAAGCAAGAGATCTGACCAATCTATAGACACTGGTGCGTGAGGGAGAAAGATGCATTACACGGAGCGAGCTTAAAAATCTTGCTTTATATTAGAGAATTCTACAAAAGTCACTGAATTTTATGCAAATACTGCATAACCTGTAAAACACAAACACACATTCTCTCAGCTCAATACTTAGCAAGATGCTTATATATATGAATTAAGACCTTATACACTGTGCCTTAATGCTTTAAAGCAACTGCCATATAATTAGAATATTTGCATTTTACGTTTAGTATTAATCTCACAAAAAACCCTGTAATTTCTCTCGAAACAGCACCAACGAATTCATCACTGTTTTGTGAAAGCGCTGTTTTCTTTGAGGTAACAGCTTGAAACCTAGGAGGCTAATATGTTCTTCTTCAGTCTGCCGGACAGTTGGCTAGTAGTCAGTGTGCATCTAGAAGGTCCTGCGACCGGCTGTCGCTACAAAGGGTTCCTTGGTTTTCCTCTGTCTTTAAGCAAATGCTGAGATCGTTCCCTAGTTCTACGTTGCTACTGCTTGCTTCTCATGCAGCCCTCCCGATTTAAATTAATCAAAATATACTCCCTTACTGCGGAGGCAACTAAATTACTTAATTACAGCTTCAACATTCAATAACAAACACATAAAAATTCCGCCGTCTCCGTTATCAAACTCTCACTAATTATCGCCCTAACGTTTTCACTCTTCCTTTAGCCTCACCACAAAAACGAACGGTCATTACCTGGGAACCTTCTAGCTACAAGATACTCTTTCTCCCCCCCCCCCCCCCCACAA